AACAGTCCTCGGTATATACATATATTGATAAATAAAATGTGATATATATAGATATAAATACACCACCAGATAAGTGGCTGGTGGTCTTACAGAAACACCCCATCTCCACAGTGAGTCTTATAGAAGTATACAAAAAAGTGCTAAGATATAAAATTCAGCGTACCTAACCAAGCAACACCCACCACTAGGTGGGATTCTGAAATATATATAACATTAAAAAAACAACAACAAAAGATGATGACTTACCCCAGTCAAAGGCAAACAGAGATATGTAGAATCACCACAGGAGGAAGAAGATACCTGTCCAAGAAAGACACAGCTATGTTTGCAGAGAAAGAGTGCCGAATATATTGGGAGTTGTCCACATTACCAGCCTGAATGATCTCCTCCAAAAGATGGCAGTGTCAAGCAGCTAAAGACTTAGTTAGATGACGAATTTGGTGTGAAGAAACAATATGTAAACAGCGACTTGCCAAGGTCATGCCAAAATACACCGGGCATACAAACCCAACCCGTGAGCATAATAGGTCAAAGATCATGGGAAAGAGAGGAATGCCATGGAACAATTAGTCAGGAATGAGAACAATGAAAGGAAGCAGTATGAGCCAAAAAATATAGCAGGGAAATCATTGGACAATGTACATGATCTGGAACTGAATGGGAATAGAGGTGGGAAAAAGAATGCCCGATCCAGATAATGAATAACATAAGAGGAATGGTAAAGGATGGCATAAATAAAGGAAAGACAATGACTGCATGCAGGTAGGGGGAAGGATTTAGGTCTTAAGAGAAAAATGATACAAGGAATAAATTGCAAATGGGTTCAAAGGGAGAACCAGAGAGATCATGAAGAACAACACTGAGATCCCAATTTGGCAGAACAAAGGAATGTGGTAAAAGAACCAGACAAAAGAAACAGAAAAACTCAGGGAAAAGGGTGTTTGACAGAGCAGCTCTATAAAGAGTAACAGTTGAAACAGACAAACCCTGATTAAACAACCAGATGAAGAACTGGGAAAGGTGAGGAACAAAAGTACAAGAGGGTCGGTAGCCATGAGAAATAGACCAACAACAGAAACCTATGCCTCTGGTACATATACAAAGAGGAAGGGCAAATGGTACAAGCATAGAAAGATATGATACGAAAATAAATCTCTGAGCAGTAGCGTGGGAATGGACAAAATTCACACAGGAAGATGGAGTGTGGTGATGTCGGGATGAAAAAAATGTCAGATCGTAGTTGACAGAGTAGCGAACAGGACAGAGGAAAGGGTAGGAACTATGTCTGAGCAGTCAATTCCAAACAATCAGCAGAACACAACAAGGAGTGGTTTGGATAAGTGAAAAGATCAAGAAGATGAGTCAGATTGGAGTGTAGGTGTATAGGTTAAAACCCCTACAATCTTTACTGAAATCATCCACCCACAGAGCTGAGGAACTGGAGATCAAAAAGGAAGGAAGTTTGGCATATCAGTGAATGGGAAACACATACATATGTGCAGTATTCTCCATTGAGAACAGACCCACAGAAAAAGGTGAGGATTAAGAGACCACACTGTGGAGAACCTAGTTGGGACATGATATGAGATTGGCCATGAAATTCATAATTCGGGGAACATGAAACATCAGAATAGTAATGTTCTTGGTCATAGGCCTAGTACAAGAAATCCAGTCTGAACAGACAGATTGGTACTTGGTTCCCCTTGCTTGGTGGTAAAGCTGATAACAGTGGAATTGTCAGAATGAACCATAACTGCCAGGAATGGGTGGAAAGGATACAGAGCCCTTGGAACTTCCAAAAGTTCCAGGATGTGGATATGGAGAGTAGCCTCCATGACTGACAACTGACCCAAAAACTCTGAGAAATCAAGGAAAATGGGATGGTCCAAGGGATCATGAGGGAAGTTCCACTGGTCAAGAAGCATCCAAGAAAATGCATGTGTGTCCAACACAAGGGAATGAATGCTTCTGAGGAAGCCCACATCCCCAAAAGAGAGAGAACCTCACATTCAGAGAGAGAAGGAGAACGTAGGACCTTCCTGACTGCCCACTCCATATCCTGGAAATGAATAGTAAAAGAATGAGCTCGACCGAGATAGGAAGAGAACCCCAAAAGGAATAAGATACTGCAAGGAGTAGTAAAGGATGTCTCCAACTTAAAAAGATCCCCCTCCCCTGAGAAGATTCTCGAAGAAGGAAGCAGGTGTGAGTGACTAACTGGGCACGGAAAGAGGCGAGCATGAAATGATGAGTTTGAAGACCCAGTGTGTGAAGATGACGTGCAAAAGAGTGTGCCACTCCACAAAACACATATGAAGCTGAAGAAAGAAAGACTGGTAGCACCCAGAACTAGAAGGCAAAACCTGCATAGAGTAACTGAAGAAAAAGAATGTGACACTAGGGCAGTAAAACCCACCGAAGTGAGAGGTAGGACTCCATGGTGAAGCGAGGTATCTCCAGATAAGTTTACAGCCAGGACAGATCAATGAAGGGATTTTAAACCCCTGTGTATGTAGAGACAAAGAAAGATGGGAGTAAACTCCTGGTTGATTGAGCACTACCCATTTGACAGCTCCTTTTGTTATAGGACTTGAACAGACAAGGTACGATCCCAAGGAGGAGTGAAGAAAATCTGGGAAGTGCATAAAGTGGGAACAAAATGGAAGTCAGGCACCCTCAGAGAGAACTCGTACAGATAATGGAACTGTCACAAAGTGGAGTTCCAATATAATACATAAACTAAAGAATTTAGAAAAAGAACTAACAAAAGCTTAGAATCATGTGTAGTCTACAAAGTGCATAAAAATAACAAACCTGCAAAATGATGAAATTGACCTAAAACATAAAATAATAAATAACACCAATAGTACAAAACCACTAAAGGGACTGAGAAGATAAATAACTAAAATATAGAACCTATTGGCCCACTCAAAGAAACTATAAGACAAAGGACACAAAAATAAAACCTACCCTAAATAACATGAGAATAAAAAGGCATGCAGTTAACAAACACAAAGTTTGACTCAAAACCAATCCCCAATTAGACGTGACTAGTAGTAAAGAAAAAACTTACAATGAGATAACATTAACAGTGAAATTAAAATTTAAAAAAAAATTACAGAAAGAAACAAACTTCAAACACAAGATTTAAACTAAAGTTACCAGGATGATTAAAGAAGTATAAAATTAAAACTTACACAACACTGAGCAGAGAAGACATGAATGACGGAAGTTATTGAGTGCGAAAATTAGATCCATCCACATGAGTTCACATAAACTCAGTGAACATCGGTATATCTACAGGGAGTGAGAAATACATACTGAAAAACTTACCACAGATCTCCTGGACAAAAGAACAATACCTAACCCAGCATATTACGAGGAAGCATGGTAGCAGGAGGATACTGCCAGAGAAAGAAACTTTCCATACAGTTGTATTATCCCTCTGCACAAAAATTGTAACTTGAAAGGAAGAAAATTGTTGGCTGAACATAAGACCCAAATTCCCTTCAAACTAAAGCCTGTGCCTCCCCAGCACATATCGTAAATCCCGAGATTGTGAACTAATGTTAGAATCATTATCTACTTATAGCAGGAAAAATTATCATCTGCCATATTAAATCTCAAATTCATACGAACAAAGTATAATTTGGGAAACAGAAACATTTCAAAATGAGTAGAAACAATGGAAATCAAATACTAGAAGTTGAAACTAATATTAATTGGGGATCAAGTACAATCACAATTGTGTATACACATGGAGAACAAGTTAACTTCTTTTTACATCCTCTTTGAATTTTTATGTTTATCTTATTTTTCAGAGAATCCAAGACATTTACAGCCTTCTGACTGGTTTGTCTTCAAGGTCTGCTTAATCTTTAGGTTGTCAGTTTTCATCTTCTTACCTGTAGTAACTCAAAAAGTTGACCTATTCTTTGGCATTTCAACATACCATGTGACACACAAAAATTGATATTTATGTGTGTTTTTTAATAATTACTTTTAAGTTAAGAAATTAACTAATGTATAATACTAAGATTTTAATCATAATCTACAGTTTGATACCAAACTTATTGACATAAATTCATGAACTATTAGTTCAATAAAATTTTCAATGCAAGTCAATAAACGCAATGACATGGCCTTTCACCTATGACCCATCTGGAAATGGTTAAAAATAAATTAAAAAAAAAACACTAGACCATGTAACTACAAATGAAAACAATTATTTCAAGATATCCACAATGATATCTACCATTCTCCATGTAACTACAAATGGAAACAATTATTTCAAGATATCCACAATGATATCTACCATTCTCCATGTAACTACAAATGGAAACAATTATTTCAAGATATCCACAATGATATCTACCATTCTCCATGTAACTACAAATGAAAACAATTATTTCAAGATATTCACAATGATATCTACCATTCTCCATGTAATTACAAATGAAATATATTACTTGAAGATATCCACAATGATATCTACCATTCTCCATGTAACTACAAATGAAAACAATTATTTCAAGATATCCACAATGATATCTACCATTCTCCATGTAATTACAAATGAAATATATTACTTGAAGATATCCACAATGATATCTACCATTCTCCATGTAACTACAAATGAAAACAATTATTTCAAGATATCCACAATGATGTGTGACATTCTCCATGTAACTAGACATGAAAAAAAAATTACCTCAGAACTTTTTTTATTGTTGTTTCTTCAGTTTATTGTGTACCCATTATTTTTTATTACTTCATTTTTTAGTTACTTTCATTTAAACCGTTATTTCTTAATTCTGTAAGCATATTATACATCACTCTCCTTGTAAGTTGATAAAAACAATTACCTGAGAATGTGGTGGTATCCACACTGATACATACAATTCTTCTTGTAAGTAGAAATGAAAACAATTACCCAAAAGAATGATAGTATCCAGAGTGATATATATATTTTTCATGTAAATGAAATTTAAAATAATTACCTGAGAACATGATGGTATCCACGCTGATATGCACCATTTTCCATGGAGGCTGCTGATAAAGGTCCCATCTGCTGAGTTCTTACAACTTTCAGCTGTTCCAATATTTTCTCATTTTCCTATGTGATATAGCCAAGTGTGGCACAAAATTTAACACTTCAGTCCAAAAAGTATTTTCCTTATTTCATACAGACATGCATACTGTTTAAGTGAAGTGCTTCTTTTCTCCTCCCAAATACATTCACAGTACCAACAAATAAAAGGATATATATAACACTTGAAGATTGGAAATGGACCTTGCTAATTGAAGTATTTTATCTTCTTATGGGGATGTAAAAGTTTATTTTATTTATATTATAGCCTTACTTTAAAACTCATGTGTTTCTCAGGAACATTGCTATAACATTATGTGTGATTAACACTACCAGAAATAATCAAAATTAAATTAAAAATTTATGTTACACATTCCTCTACATAACATCATATTGATGGATTAAACTTATTTTCACCTGTTCCAAATAAATAGCTAGATTTAAACTAAAAACCATAACTATTACATATACACAACTGTTTAAGTTTAATGTGAGTATTATGATTTAAGTGGTTTAAGTATAGCTCAAGTGTTAAATTTAGTTATTTTTAGCAGACATAGTTTATTGCAGGTTTGTTTACATAGCTGTGTACAAATCATACCCTATGTACTTCAACTGTTGTGAATTGGCACTTGTTGTATTATTGCATCATGTTAATAGAACCTTCCAAGTTTTTCTCATTGTTTTGATTGAGTTTATTGCATCACAATATCTTGTAATGTGCAGAACGCTTGAGACCTCTGTTAGGCTATAGATAGATAGATAGATCTAGTCTGCATAAAAAGTGTATAGTGGTGATTTATAAAGTGAAATTATCACAGACTGTATTGTAACAAAAGAGTAAAGATGAAATAATTTAAATGGTGTATTTAAATGTTTTACACTCACAAAAAAGAAACCTATCATTCTACAGGTATTTGAAGAATTTGTAGAATTCTGCCACAATTTAATTCTTCGTATGAATGCTGCTGCTAGAAGAAATAGAATCAAGACAACTCGTTAGATTCACAACAAGGAGGTGCTATTACCATGAATAAACAGTACATCATTGATAGTCAGCTCAAGTTAGCAAATGGATCAACCACAACATGCCGGTAGGTGAAGGCTATGTTGGGGGCAAGAAAGTGAAAGTCCTATGAGACATTGGGTGCAGCAGTCAGAATCAGTCTAGTATCTGATGACCAGACAATGGGCAAAGTACATTTAAATGTGCTGATTGATGGGACAGTGAGAAAGTTTTCCACAGCAAGAATAAAGGTGGATACTCCATACTACATGGGAGATCTTGAGGCCATGTATATGAAGGCACCCATTAATGACTTGGTAATCAACAATATACCTGGCAGTAGAAGTTTGGAAGAACCAGACATAAAGAACACTGATGAGGCATCTGCAATGATCAGAAGAACTCAAGAATATAAAAGAAAGCAAGACATCAAGCCCCTTCAAATTTCAAAAAGTGACATTACGATTGTAGGTCTATGGGAATTGAAGGAAGCACAGAAGAAATACCATTCACTGCAGAAACTCTGGGACAATGCCTGGGAGAAAGTTGAGCACAAGGCCAAAAGAAAAGGGACTTACAGAACAGAGGACTAGAAGGGAGTGGTGTACCAGACCTATCAAGGTAATTCTACTGGGGAAGTTAAACATATCATAGTACCAACAGAATACTGAACTCAAGTGATGAAGTTGACTCACAAGTCAATTGTGGATGGACACCTAGGAGTAAACAAGACAGCAGACATGATCACCAGCAACTTCCATTGGCCAGGGGTCATCAGAGATGTTACCAGATTCTGCAGGACATGTGACATCTGCCAAAGGACAGTACCTAGAGGGAATGTAGCCTAGGTGCCAATGGGTGAAATTCCTCATATAGGATAGCCATTCAGCAGAGTAGCTGTGGACTTGATTGGACTATTACACCTGTATCTGTCAAGGGCAACCGGTACATGTTGAGACAGAGAGAGAGAAGCCCTCCTGAAAGTGTTCTTCAGAGCAGGCTTTCCAAAAGAAGTCTTGAGTGACAGAGAGACCCAGTTTACCTCAATATTGATGCAAGAGGTGTGCAGACCCATCAGCACCTGGCAGCTCTTTACCACCCAATACAAACCCAGATGTAATGGACTTTGTGAGAGAGTCAATGGGGTCTTAAAGAGCATGCTGAAGAAGATGTGCCAAGAGAGATCACGTGAGTAGATCAGGTACCTCCAGGTGGTAGTTGCTTACCAAGAAGTCCCAAAAGCGAGTACAGGATTTTCACCCTTGGAGTTACTGTACGGAAGAACAGTACGAGGCCCAATGCAGATATTCAGAGAACTGTGGACAGGAGAAGAGTCATAAGTGAGGAACACATACCATTATGTGTTAGGCCTCAGAAACCAATCGGAGGAGACCTTTCAACTCACTTGAAAAAGTCTGTATGCAGCCCAAGGCAGGCAGAAGCACTTCTATGACAAGAAGTCCAAGGATCGATGTTTCAGGGTCGGATAGAAGATCTTAGTTCTGATACCCACAGAAAACAGCAAACTCACATCAAAGATATTGATTTTGTCATAAAAGATGAAGAACTAAGACCACTGGGCAGAAATGAGATGCACAAAGGCATCAGTGAAGAAATGATTGACAAGCAGAAGAAAGAGCTACAAGATCTACCATGCCAGTATGCAGCTGTCTTCACAGATAGACCAGGTAAGACAGACCTTGTGTAACACAAGATTGAGACCATGACCAAGAACTCAGTCAAAGTGAAGTCTTACCAGATGCCCTATGCAATGAGAAACATGATCAAGCAAGAAGTTGAAGTAATGTTAGAAACTGGAATCATTGAGCCTTCGAATTCAGTCTACTGTTCACTGGAGGTAATCGTGAAGAAGAGGGTTGTCTCAAACTCTTCTGCATAGATTTCCAGAAGATGAACCTCATGACAAAATTAGACTCCAAACCTATGGGAAACCCAGAGGCCATCACAGTGAAAATAGATGGGGCCAAGTTCTCTTCTAAGGTCGACCTCAGAAAAAGTTATTGGCAGATCCCAACGGAGATAGTGTCCAAAGAGAAGACAGCCTTTGTGACACTTAATGGATGCTACTAGTTCAAGAGGATGCCAACTCAGCAGCAACATTCACCTCATGATGAGGAAGATGTTGCACAAAACCACCAACATTGTGCACTATGTGGATGACATTCTGACACACACAGTCAGATGAGAAGACCACCTGAAGAAACTCAAGGATCTGTTCTGGTGAGTGAGGGCAGTAGGTCTGACCATCAGATCATCTAAGTGCTACATTGGATATTCTGTGATGGACTTTGTTGGACACAAAGTGGGTGACTGCCAGATAAGTGTGGAAGGTGCACCAGTTCCAATGACTAAGCAGCATGTCAGATCCTTCCTGGGGTTAGCGGGATACTATAGGAAGTTCATCCTAAACTCTGCTGAATTCACTGCACTACTGACTGACCTGACCAAGAAAGGCCAACACAACAAGGTGAAGTGGGAACAACCACAGAAAAAAAAAAAAGAGTTACAAGGTCTACTATGTCAATAAACAGATGTCTTCACAGATAGAGCAGGCAAGACAGACCTTGTGCAACACCAGATCAAGACCACGACCAGGGATCCAGTCAAGGTGAGGCTATATCATATGCTCTATGTGATGAAAGACCTGATCATGCAAGAAGTCAAGACAATGTTAGAAGCTGGAATCATTGAGCCTTTGAATTCAGCCTACTGTTCACCAGTTGTAATTGTGAAGAAGAAGGACAGCTCTAACAGCTTCTGCACAGATTTTCAGAAGCTTAACCTCCTGATGAAATTCATTTCTGAACCTACGGGTAACCTAAAGGCTATCATGGTGAAACTAAATGAGGCCAATTTCTTTTCTGAGATCGACCACAGTAAAGGTTATTGGTAGATCTCGATGGAGATAGGATATAAAGAAAGACAGCCTTTAGAACATCAGAAAAATAATACCAGTTTAAGAGGATGCCAACTGGGTTAGTCAACTCAGCAGTAACATTCAACCTCATGATGAGGAAGATGTTGCACAAAACCACCAACATTGAGAATTATGTGGACAACCTTTAGACCCACACATCCAGAAAGGAAGACCACCTGAAGAAACTCGGAGAGCTGTTGAGGCAAGAGAGAGCAGGTCTTGACCATCATACCATCTAGGTGCTATATCAGCTACTCTGTGTTGGACACAAGGAGGGCAACTGACAGATAGCCATAGGAGAGGCGAAGCTAACTTGCATACGAGATGCACCAGCTCCAACAACTAAGCAACAAGTCAGGTCCTTCCTGGGGTTTGCAGGATACTATAGGAAGTTCATCCAAAACTATGCTGAAGTCACTGCACTACTGACTGACCTGACCTAGAAAGGTCAACCTAACAAGATGAAGTGGGAACAACCACAGCAGATGAAATTCCAGAAGATGAAGAACATGTTAGGAAGTTTGCCAATCCTAAGAATGCCAGACTTCAACAAACCATTCATTGTTGAGGTCGATGCATCAGAAGTTGGAATTGGAGCAGTAGTTCTGCAAGAACATGAAGACAAACTGTTTCCCATAATGTATGTCAGTAAAAAGCTGTCTAGCTATATTTGCCTTCCAGAAATTTCAGAACTACCTCTATGAGAAGTAGTTCATCATACAGACAGATTATTAGCCCCTTGCATACATATAGAGGTGCAAGGATCATGAGGTAAAATGTGTTTCCAGAACTACCAATTCCACAATGAAACCATCAAGGGGATTGCAAGTATTAATGCAGACTGTAGGAGTAGACTTTGTGCATGAACTGAAAACAGTCTTTGTATATAGTATGAAAAATATTGTAAATATTCTCTTGAAGAGGTGCTTATTGTTAGATATACACGAATGTTTCATTTTAAGTGTAATGTTAGCATTATAATTTAGACAATTTATATTG